GTGCAGGAGTTTGTAGTCAGAGACTGCTCGTTTGTTTCCCGGCCACCCAGCCCGAGTAAACACACAGAAATTATATTAGTTGCAGCATTGTTTGGCCTATTAGCTCAGGCTTCTTCTTAACTCTTATATCTTAAATTAACCCATTTCTGTTAATCTGTGTATTGCCATGAGACTGTGGCCCACCAGTAAGGTTCTGGTGGCATCTTTCTCCTTTGTCAGCTACACTGCGTCTCCTTGATTCCTCCTCCTCTCTCTGTCTCTCTCTCCACACACACACATGTTCAGATTTCCCGCTACTTGTTCTTTATATCTCTGTTTGGATTTCCTACCTATCTCTGCTCTGGCCGAAACAGCTTTATTCATTAACCAGTGATATTCACATATCACATATTCACAGCATCCAGAGGGGAATCCCACATCATCTCCCCTTTTCTGTCTAATTAAAAAGGAAGGTTTTGATTTTAACATAGTAAAATTACATATAACAAAATAGGTATCAAGCAACAATTACAGTTATAATATTTAGTCATCCATTCTGTCTTTGTGAATCTAAAGTTTTATATCTAATTTATCCTTTATCATAACTAAGGAAAGCTATAACTGTCTTCAACTCTTCAAAGACCTAAGAAGGATATAATATTACCTAAGTAAACCAGAAGGGCATTGTAAGCACCTTCCAAAGTTTTAGAACTGACAGAGACATCTCACTGCCTGGACAATCACCCACAGTTCTTTTGTAATGTTGGGGCATCCATCCTCAGCCTACAGGCCCATAGAACCTGGCAGACTTTTCCATGAAGCAGGAAATTTGGAAGGCTGTTTTGCCTGTCTTGGCAGTTTGTCAGTCACTCTCTTCTGTATCCTGCAGAATGTGACAGTTTCTTCTGTGAAGAAGAAACTCTGAAGGACCATCCTGTCTTTTGGAAAGTTCAGCAGTCACTTTTCTGTGGGTCCTGCATGTGCAGTTCATATAACATACCATCTAGAAGTCCAGGAAAGAGCAGTTTTTTGCCCAAATGGCTAGTCTTGTCACATTGAAGGCAAATTCCATAACAGGTTTTTATTGATGCCCATCAATGCCCATCAACCTCTCTGAAGTAACTAGTGCTGCCAGAAGCAGACATGTCTCACTGTTGAGAAAAGTCTAAGTTCTTACAATGTTTTAAATGCCATATTCTATAGGTCTTTGAAGTGTTGAAGGTAATCTAACTGAATTATATCTCTCTATATCTAGAAAACCTAACTAATATGAATACAGTTTGACTATTAGGACTACCTATTCATCTGCAATTTTTAATTATACATTACATTTTTAAATGAGCTGTCTAAACAGTAACAGAAATACATTTAACAAAATTGCCCTTAAATTTGTATCAATAGACCAAGATCCATACCAATGCAAAGTATTCATCTCTGTATCATATCTCCCTTTAAGAGAGAGAGAGAGAAAGATTGACTGTGACCATTAATGATTTATACCCAACCTCTTTTAAATGAAAACAAACATTTATAAACAATCATTTTGGGAATTTGGGCATCATTTTGCTCAAACTGCTCCCTGCTCTTTGTTGGGGTAAGTATTTTTAGGGGTTCATGGAAACCTTTTAGGGGGGTATTGTTCTATCAAACCACTTTAGCCTGGAAGGAATCTACAGGTTCCCATCCTCTGTGGAAACAAAAGCAGAATTTCTTTTCCAAAGTAACATACCCTTAGACTCAAATTTTGAAATCAAGATACCCTTAAAACATATATGTTGGTTTAGCTAGCAGCTCCCAAAATCAAATGTCTCCCTGCAGTCAAAAAATTCAAAGAAAACACAACAATATACATAATCCAGTCTCTGTATTTTCCATCTTTACATGGCTTATCTTTCTTTACTCCTTTAATCTATGACTGTCTGTACTCTTTTATATTGCTTTTACTGTCTCTTTAAAGACTTTACTTCTTTTTATAACTGTCTGTATTCTTCTTCCTCTTTCTCCCAAGCCTACGTACATTTTAAAACACACTGTATCTCATTTAGAGGTCTTTTATGTCTGAATGTGTCCTGTTGTGTATCTGAAATACTTTTCTGACAAGGAACATTTTAAAATGGTAAGCAGTGTGATTGCAGAGCCCTAGATGCTGGTTCCACCTCTCTTGGCCTTTCAATATGGCATAGGTACATTACTGCCAACTCTGGAACTGCTGGGTAGGAGCCGTGCTCATCACCTCAACTCTGGGAAGCACCATGCAGCACATAAACCCTTTTTGTCTCAGTAAAAGCTAAATCTGCCATGCAGCATGCTGTGTGGCCTGGAAATGTCTCTGTGTATGGCAGCAGGAATCGCCATGCTTTCCTACCTGTGCATACCTAACAGACCTGATCCAGCTGCTTTTCCAGGCAGGGGTGCTGAGCAGCATGCATGCTCTCAGCTACTTTGTTTCTAACCCCAAGTATACAAGCACCTGGACCCAAAGTGTGTGGCTGGTGATGCACGTTAGCCCCAAACCTATGGGCACCATTTTGTAGTTGGAGACTGCTCATTTGTTTCCCAACTGTCCAGCCTGAACAAACAGACAGAAACTATTATTAATTGCAACACTGTTTGGCCTCTTGGTTCAGGCTTCTTATTAACTAACTCTAACATCTTAACCCATTTCTATGAATCTATGTATTGCTACAAGGCTGTGGCCTACCAGTAAGGTTCTGTTGGCGGCGTCTTTCTCGTTCGGCAGCTACAATGGCGTCTCCTTGACTTTGCCTGCTCTCTCTAAATATCTCTGTTCGGATTTCCCGCCTACCTCTGCTCTGCTAAGCCATTGGCCGGAACAGCTTTATTCATTAACCAATGCTAATAAAACATTCACAGCGTACAACAGGGGTTGTGTCATGGATGGATCTGTTCAGCTCAGGCACCCCACCAGTTGTTCTCTGCCTTTGAGCAGTTGTAGGTTTCTGCAGTGGTCTCCATCTGCTTCAGAAGGAAGCTGCTTTGATGTGTGGAGGGGCGAGAGCCACACTGAGCTGTGGTGTAAGTGTCTGGAATACAGTTAGGGATGGTGCTCAGTTGGAAGAGTGGCAGCAGTGGGTTCTCTGAGATCCGTGATGCCTCTGGCCAGGAGGGTTGCTAGGTTTCCAGTCCCAGGCATGATTTTCCACTTGTTGATGAGACCTGATATCCAGCTAGACAGCTGTTTGTTACTGCCAGAATATAAGCGCCACTATTGCACCTTTAGGGATAGCGTGCCCTGCTGGCCATTGTGGCTTGTGGGCATCCTCTTGGCAGCCTTCCTAGCACCATCAGGTAATAGAAGCTAGTCCTCAGGAGGAGGCCCTCAGGCCAGGTCCAGCTTGAACCCTCTGAATCCTGTGGGCCAAATATACCGTTGTCTTCAGCAATAAGGACATACCTTCAACTCCTGGGAGACAGCCCAGGGCAACAGTCATAACCTGTGTTGTCTGGGGAGCCTTTTGGACTCCCCTGACCCAAGCCCAAAAGGAGGTTTCTCAGACCTGGTACTGGGGTTTGTTAAATAGTCCACAGCTCTCAGAAAGAGCATTATCGTAAGTAGCTTCCCTTCGTGTGTGAGTGTGTGCGTACCTACGCTTTGTCTTAGTGACTAATCTATCGCTGTGAAGAGACATAACCAAGGCAACTCTTAGGAAAGAAAGCATTTAACTGAGTGATTTCTTAGTTTCAGAGGTTAGTTTATTATTATTATCACGGCAGGAAGCAGACAGTAATTGCACAGGAGCAGTAGCTGAGAACTTTACATCCTGAACCAAAGCAGGGAGGAGGCTAAGACAGAGACTAGGAAACCTCAAAGCCTACTACCCCTAGTGACACGCATCCTCAAGGTCACACCCACTCCACTACCACACCTCCTACTCCTTCCTGATCAGTACACTAGGGACACTCAAATGAGCCTGTGGTGACTGTCCTCATTCAAGAAACCATACGCTTACATATGTGTACTGTATATAAAGTAACATTCCCTGTGGCTGTTTCAAACATCACCAGTTAATACCTCCCTTTTCCTGTCTCTCACGTTAAATCACCCAGATCCTGCTATTCTGGTCTCTAGAGCTCCTCCACCCCAAAGGTTCACTTTCACTTCCCGGCTTCTGCAGTTATTCCAGGCTGTGTACTCCTGTGTGAAGATTTAGGGCTGGAAACCACAGATGAGAGAGAAGATGCCGCATTTGTCGAGTTCCACCCATTTACCTGTAAATTTCATGATTTCATTTTCTTTACAGTTGAATAGTATTCTGTTTGTATATGTATAATAAGTCTCATTATCCATTCAATAGTGGAAGGACGTTTAGGTTTCTGCATCTTAGCGACTATGAGTAGAGTGGCTCCATTGCCTTCTGTGGTGAGGAAGAGCACACTGGAGCGGAGCTCATCACCTCACAGCAGCCAGACAGCAGAGCGAGACAGGGAAAGTGGAGACTGAGGACAAGATAGACCCTTAGAGTCACATCCCCAGGGTCCCCGTCATCTGCTGATGAAGGCAGAGCCCCCAGTGCAGTCAGTTCCTAAAATCCCAGCCGCTGGCAGCAGGCCTTCAATATGTGAGCCTTCAGGGGACACTTCAGACTCAAATCCTGAAACACAGCACCAGCTGGGCCTCTTTTCTGGTGTTTGGTATTACTGGTTTTAACTTGGCTATTCTGAGGATGCGAGGCTGCACATCATCGTGGCTTTCACTTTCCTTATGATGGCCGTGGAGAGTTTCTAGACGTCGCTGGCTGCTTACTCATTTTCTGCTCAATGTGCTTCAGTTTCATTGATTCTGTTGTAAGTCACCTTGCTCTGAGTCCACAATGCTCTGTGTGCATAGTGTGGCCACGTGTCATTCATTAGATGCATGTATTAGAAAAAGATTTCCCAAATAATTCCTATGCTCTTTTGGCGTTCTATGATTAGAATTTTATTTTAATGAGTTTCTAATCAATTTCTGTGCCTTTAAAAACATTGTAAGGATTTTTTTTTCTTTTCTGCCTGCTCTAAAGGTTGCAGAGATACCCTCCTGACGGACAGCTGAACAGAGTCCTCATTGCTTACCTCCTCCACATGGAAAAGCTAACGATGCAAAATTGTGTTCTGAGGTGAGTGACCATTGGAGTGCCTGGGAACTAGAGACTGGACTCCTGTGAGAATCTGAGGCCAGGACGACAGCACAGTAAGGAAAACAAAGTGTCTTGGTGCCTGCCACTCGACACTCACAGCTCGAGGAGACCAGCCTCCCTGCGAGGGCGACAAAGGGGTCCATTACGGAGTCAGTGTGTGCTCACAGTTGTCACTCCTGGAAGTTTGCATAACCTTCATGCTTCTTAATGTCAGGAACCTTAAAAGGAGCTCACATAGTCCACTGTGATGCCCCAGGATGCTATTACTAAAGCCGGCTTAAAAGGCTATCTGAACTTAAACTGGCATTGGAGTCAAAATCCTCACCTGTGTGTTCCCATCTTTGGGACTCTGCAGACGTTCACTGTGCCCTATATTGTAGGGACAGGCATTGTAATAGAACAGTGTCACCCTCTAGAATCAGGACACCAGGGTGCCTTCCCTTTGGGAAGGGCTGGCTGTCAGGAGCATGACTAGCCATAAGCACGGAGGCTCATGAAGGCCCACGAACTCCTGCCACCTGTTCCCAGTGCAGCCCACCCAAGTCTCTTCGTCAGCAGTAGTGCAGTGCTCATGCTGGTCTGCCAATGCGGCTGTGCCAAAGGGGCCCTGGACATCCCGTGGAGTCCAGCATTGACCAGTCCCCAGACGAGCAAGACCAAAGAGAATGTACTCAGCTCGGCTGTGTAGTCCACCTGGGTGCACTATAGAAGCACAAAGGAGCACCAAGATTCTGCTCCCGCCTCACCCAGGAAGTGCCTGCCACCTTACCCACGCACCCTGTCTGACCATATGCTGCTCTCAAGTCTGCATCACTGATTGGTTACAGGGGCAAGTTCTACCCCGTGCACTCTGCTGGGGCCAGTCATGCTGAAAGCCTGTGCTATAGCAAAGCTCGCACGCATCAGCAGATCCTGAGCAGCTTTAATTGTCCGAAAGGGCTGTGACTCCCACTCTGTGCTGCACCCTCCTCTGCTTTGGTGTGCTCCACAGAGGAGTCGGTGGGTTTCACCTCCAGGGCTGCACACATTGCACACGCTGCACGAAATCATTACTCATGACCAAAGAAGTTATAGGGAGACTGTTCTGTGGTGGCCATCTACAATGCCAACATGGCAGGAGAAATCTGCCTTTAAGAGGGTCATTTCGCCAAAATGGTAGCACTGTCTGAATTCCAGCTACACAGATCTCAGTGTGGGAGCGTGAGGAATTGAACTGAGGAGTGACTTGATGCGCTCAGAGAAAACCCTGACTGTGAAGTTCCAAATAACCTAAAGGGATGAAGTGTTAAAGAATGAAAAGGAATGATTATTACTGGGGCCAGAAAGGGGCCTGTGAGGAGGGTGTAAAAGGCATTGCAGGGATGAATATGAACCACGTAGAGGACAGATGTGTCATAGTGAAACCCATTCTTTTTTACACTAATTTGCAAAGAAAAAATTCAAGGATGAAGGAATGATTATATTTTAAAAAGTGAGATCCAAAAGAATACAGTGAGATGATACTAAAGAGATACTACATACTATGAATGCAAGATTCCATAAAGAAACATATTGAAAAAGAACCAAACAGGGGCTGGAGAGATGGCTCAGCGGTTAAGAGCATTGTCTGCTCTTCCAAAGGTCCTGAGTTCAATTCCCAGCAACCACATGGTGGCTCACAACCATCTGTAAAGAGGTCTGGTGCCCTCTTCTGGCCTTCAGGCATACACACAGACAGAATATTGTATAATAATAAATAAATATTTAAAAAAAAAAAGAAAAAAAAAGAAAAAGAACCAAACAGCAATCTTGAGATGAAAAAACTTAGTAAATTAAATAAAAAATGCATTTGCTAGCCTCAACAGACAATCTAGATTCAGCAGAGGAAAGAATGTCTGAACCCGTGATCTTATCCCATCTCACCACATGCTGTATCTATCCTCCAAGTCCAGCCAGGCTGGCATATGCTACATCCCATCCAGCCTGGCCAGTGTTTTATTGCTGTTAAGAGACACCATGACCATGGCAACTCTTATTTTTTAAAAAAGCATTTAATTGTGGGATTCACTTACAGTTTTAGCAGTTTTAGAACCATGACCATTATGGTGGGGAGTGTAGCAGGCAGACTTGGTGCAGGAGCGGTAGCTGAGAGCTTACATCCTGACCCACCGGATGGAGGAAGAGAGAGAGGCTGGGCCTGGCTTGGGCTTTTGAAACCTTAAAGCCCACCCCCAGTGATACTTCCTCCAACAAGGAAGGCCACACCTCCTAATCCTTCTCAAGTAGTGCCACTCCCTGGTGACAAAGCATTCAAATCTGTGAGCCTACAGGGGCCATTCTCATTCAAACCACCACACCCCTTATCAAAGAAACCTCCCTTTTCGGAAGACACAGACAGACCATCATGGAAAACTACAGTTGGTCAAAGTGAAGAAAATAGCCTGACTGTGAGGTACCAAGCCCCAACTGATATATCTACAATACAATTCCTGCACCCAAGGCTCAGGAACGTAAGGGAGAGGGTAGAACGGTTATAAATGGCTGAGGGTCAGGAAGTCTGCTGTGAGGCTGTGGCTCCTAAAAGTAACAAGGAAGCTCTACCCATGACACCTCAGTATGAACCTACGTGAGACCTGAACAGTGACAACACTAATGACATTCTAACATCTACTGAAGATCTCATGATCCCCCGCCCCTAGAATGAGAACCCAGGGATGAGGCCCCTAACTAGTTACCCAGTACCAAGGGGTCAGCCCTGAAGTCCTATAGCTAGTCCAACACTAAATGGACCCAACAGGTTGTGTTTACATATTGATGCAGATGTGTAACAGTAATTAAAGAGATCGTGAATTTGAGAGGGAGGAAAGGGAAGGGATAACTGATGTAATTGTATTTTAGTTCAATTTATTTTAATATTAAAAAGACTATTGTAACTTGAAGACAGGCCTTTTGAAAGCTCAGTCAGGGCAAGAATATGTATTCAGGACTTCTGGGATACCATTAAGTGAACAAAGAGTATATATTCTTTTGAATACTCAAAGGAAAAAGGTAAGGACACAAACCATTTCAATGAAATAACGTGAGAAGAATCAAACCTTGGGTTAAATGCAGACATATATGCAAGTGAGGTATATTAGAGCCACAGTTTGACCAGAAAAGATCTTCAATACAGGATGCTGTAGGCAAGCGTAAGTGCTGAAGTTCAAAGCAAAGAAAAAAATTTTAAAATCTATTTTAACATAGGAAAGCCCTAGTCCCAATCCAGCATGTTCCAGTTGGATTAATAGCAGATTCCTTTCTGAGCTGGGGGCGGGGGGGGGGGGGAGCGGCACATCTTTAATCCCAGCACTTGGGAGGCAGAGGCAGGCAGATAGATCTCTGTGAGTTCGAGGCCCACTTGTCTACAGAGTGAGGTCTAGGACCCCCAGGACTGTTACACAGAGAAACCCTGTCTCAAAATAACAACAACAACAACAACAAACAAATAGCAGATTCCTCAGCAGAAGCTACAGGCCGGGGGGGGGGGGGGGAGATAAAGTGATATACTGAGGTCCTGAGAGAAAATCACTTCAGACTAAAGCTGCTGTACCCAGCAAAGCTAGCCTTTGGGAATGAAGCAGAAATAAGACCTTCTGTGGTGGTTTGAAAGAGAATGACCCCCAAAGGTAGTGGCACTGTGAGAAGGTGTGGTCTTTTTGGAGGAAGTGTATCCCTGTGGAGGTGGGCTACAAAGTCTTATGTACGCTCAAGATACTGGCCAGGGTAACACACAAACCATTTCCTGTTGCCTACAAGATGCAGAACTCTCAGCTACTTCTCCAGCACCATGTCTACCTGCATGGCCATGCCCCCACCATGATGATAATGAAATGAACCTCTGAACTGTAAGCCAGCCCCAATTAAATGTTTTCCTTATAAGAATTGCTGTGGTCGGGCTGGAGAGATGGCTCAGTGGTTAAGAGCATTGCCTGCTCTTCCAAAGGTCCTGAGTTCAATTCCCAGCAACCACATGGTGGCTCACAACCATCTGTAATGAGGTCCGGTGCCCTCTTCTAGCGATCAGGCATACACGCACAAAGGATATTGTATACAAAATAAATAAATTAAATAAATAAATAAAAAGAATTGCTGTGGTCATGGTGTCTCTTCACAGCAATAGAAACCCTAACCTTTCCAGATGAAAAACAACAAAAGAGGAAATTCATGACCAGAAAACAGCTTTTTTGACCCCCTGCTCCCAAAGATGGACTACCATCCCACAACACAAAACGCATTTAGTCCAGCTTGCACTTCTGTAGTCTTAACACTTCAACACTACTCAAATTCCATGTCCAAAATCTCTTCTGAGACTCAAGGCTAAATAAATCTTCTAAATTTGAGGCCCTTTTGTAAAAATCAAAACCGCAAGTCGCATGCTCCCATTAAATAGTGATACAGAGTGAACAATCCCATTCCAACCAAGGAGGAACTGGTTCTCTCCTTCCACCATGTGGATCCTTAGGATCAAACTCAGGCCATCATGCTTACCGGGGAGCTCCAGATTCGGCCAGAGACCCTGTCTCAAAGAATAAAGTGGAAGAATGGTTAAGGAAGACTTTCAGAACCAGAGGCTTACTGCTCTGATTCCTGAGTGCTGAACTTTCAGAACCAGAGGCTTACTGCTCTGATTCCTGAGTGCTGAACTTTCAGGATCACACAGAGGGGCAGCTACAAAGTAGGTGAATCAAAGACACGGATCTAGGTTCTCAAAGTCCTCTGCCAGTGTTTGCCTTGCTCCTTATGAGTACACTCAGGCACCAGTAAGATGAAGCAAGCTGGTGGCGGACCATGTATCATACATGTCAGGCCGGTTCTGCAGACTTGCAAGATGCCAAAGGCGTAGGCTCATGAAGCCTTCGACCAAATTTCAGAGCAATCCTGGGAGGCCAGGCAATGTGTAGCAAGGTCCAAGTTCTTCTAGGAAGATGCTGAGAGGGCAGTGTATGAAAGTATGAGAGTAAAGTCACGTGCTAGCAAGGAGGGACATGGAGGAGGCAGACTGCAGGCACAGCAGAACCAGAAGAGAGGAGCTGTTCATTCTGCAGCTAGCAAGGCTGTGGGGCCTATGGGCTCCATTCCCCAGCCCAAGGGTCTGCTCATGACAGTCTTCTTCCATCTGCTGTCTGTGCTGCACGCTACACATGGGTCTGTCATGACAGTCTCCTTCCATCTGCTGTTTGTGCACACGCTACACACGGGTCTGTCATGACAGTCTCCTTCCATCTGCTGTTTGTGCACACGCTACACACGGGTCTGTCATGACAGTCTCCTTCCATCTGCTCTCTGTGCCGCATGCTACACACGAGTCATTTACTAGTCATTCACTCATTTTCTAGCTTCTAGAGTTTCGTCTTAGAAAATTTATTCCTTTAGAACAAAGTACTTTTAAAAGTTTTCAAAGCCATACAGGTGACAGGTTTTTTTTTGTTTGTTTTTTGGGTTTTGGGGCTTCAGTGGTTGCTGGGAATTGAACCCAGGTACTCTCCTGAGCTACATCTTCACACTCTAACATCTTTGTAGGTACACTGAATAACCTCACTGATGGCCAAGCCTGCCCCATCCCCACTGCCCTCCACACATTTCTCACCCATGTTCACACTTCAGATTTTGAGGCAAATTCTAGTAAACTCTTCAATATGCATATTTAAAACTCTTAATTTCCATTTCCTCTGTAAGGACTCTAGAAATACAGTCACGTGCTGAGGTACTATCATTTAGGGCTTCAACATCTGAATTTGAAGGAAACAGAGTTCAAATCACCACAAAATTAAAAACTCCTTAGTGTGCTAAAATTTCTAGTTAGCACCCAACTTGACTATAATTTTGCTTTAATTCATCCAATAAGTTCTACACATTGTACCTTCATATATATCTTAAGTCCCCCTTTGATGGGTTTATATTTTTCTTTTATTGAAAATAGATGTTTAAAAAAGAATAGATGTTTTTTATACAATCTATTCTGATAATAGTTTCTCTTCTCCCAGCTCTTCAGAGAATCCCCCACCCCCCCTCCCGCTGGTCACTGAACTGTTAGAATTTTACCAATGAAACAAGTCTCATAGATTGCCAGTGGGTGATTTCTTCCCTGTCCTCTTTTTGTATGAGAAACTACCGTTGAACTTGAAGGTCCTTTGGCAGGTTGGCTTTGTAGGTAACAGTGATTCTTTCATCTCCTCCCCTGATGAGTGACTTGCCTCCATCTTGAACATCTAGGGCTGCAAAATGACCCTTTTCAGGTTTTATCCTTCCTTTATTTGGCAGTTGCTTGTCTACACTGTTCCGTCTCTAGGTGGTGCAATGTGCAGGAAATCCAGCAAAAACATGTCGCTCAGTATTTTCTCATTTAAGAAGAATAGTGATTTGGTGATTAGTGTCCTCCAATGTCACAAAAAAGGCATTCTTCTTCATTTTCTCTGTATGTGTGTGTGCATGCCTGTGTAGAAAAGACCAGCCTTCAAGGAAGACGTTGTTTTCACAAATTAAATCACCTTGCACTTTCTTGGAAAATTAATTGAATTTTTTGGATCTGTTTTTTGAATTCTTTTCTGTGCCACTGACTTATGGGAAAGTCCTTATGCTAATACCATGCTGTTTTTGTTTCTGTACTTTACAGCAAGTAAAGTTATATAAATTGTTAGATAAAACATTACATACAAATCATTTTCATTCTCCTGGGACATGTATCTTTCTAGATAAATCATAAGTCAGCTTGTCAGTTTCCACAAGATAAGCTTTCTGAGTCTTCTAGTCTGTGTCTCTCTTCACTGATTTAGGACTCCTCTTCCATAATAATTTTTGGTTTTCAGAATATTGTGCTTTGTCAGTTGTATCCTTAAGTTTTTCTGATTTGTCCTGTTCTTGTACAGCTTTGTAGTATTACATAAATATAATCATGATTTGTGTTAATTAGCCAAGCTTTACTTTGGTTCCATAAAAGCCCCTAAGTACATGGCCATGTCTCCCTTTCCTTCTTTTTAGTCTGTGTTCCTTTGAGTTCCTATTCCTGCACATTGCGTGGGTGGGGTCCCTAGTGAGACACTCAGTAGGCATTGGGAGTGGGTGTAGGACGATCTCGAGGGAAACCGCTCCCCGGGAACTAAGCATGAGGTGTAGGTGTGTCTTAATCTTGCCTGTCTGGTTGAGAAAGTTCCTTTCTGTGGCTTGTGAGTTTGTATCCTGTTGGGTTCTATGAAATACTTTCTGTATTTCCTCCGTTGATCTTGAGGCTTTCCCTACCCTCAGCTAACATGGGGAGTTACTAGATTTTCTAAACTGGTTGGCACTGGTTCTGTAGGACTTTGTGTTGGTAGATTCCAATGTGAGTGTTTTCTTAAAGGTTTGTGTTATTATGTTCATAAAGTATGTTGATTTATGATACACTTTCCTTGAACACAGTCCATACTTACTTTTTTTTTCTCAGAACCACAAGCTTTATTAGCCGGAAGATGTCCTCATGAGCCCAGACTGCTGGAACTGGATGTTCCCGAATGGGCAGTCCTAGTCCTAGTCCTAGCCCTTTGTTCCAGGTTTCGACTGGCCTTTTGAAGGACTTGGTGAGTCATGACCAACTGATCACACGTGACTTTCTCCTGGTGCTTTTTCTGCTGCAGAAGTTTTGCTGGTTCTGTAGCTTCTTTTCCTGTTGAAACAACTTTCTGTGCAGTTTGGCGATCTCTGCCTTCCTTTCTTCAATCTGCTCACAGCGAAGTGAACACTGGCCATCTTTGGGGACTGAGAGCTTCTAGAAGAGTGTCAGCAACCTTGAGGCTTCTTCCAGGATCAGCCTGGCTGTGCTCATGCTGAAGAGAAACTTGCTCAGAGGCACAGAGAGTGGAATCGTTGGCCCCAGTTTTTGACCTGTGGGGCTCAGAACCTCTTGAGTTTGAATGTCCATCTCAGCAAGCAGTCTCTGGCCACGGCTGATGGGCTTATGGGGGGCATCATAGTCCTCAGTGAGGCCCAGCATATGGTGGCCACTCATGGTGTTCAGCAGTCAGGCAGGGCATGCAAGGAGGACTGATGATGGACATGCTCCTGTCACAGGAGAGGGAGTCCACGTCAGTTCCAGAGAGCAGAGGAGGCCGGAAGCTGATTTCGGTGCCATTGCCCGGGTGGACTCAGATAGATCAAGTGAATTATCACTGGCCTCAGGACGTTTGTTGCCATCATGTTTGTCCAGCTGAAGGGACCACTTGGTAACAGGGCCTTGACAGCCAGAGTGAGGCCCCTTCCTGGGGCGTCTTCACTCCCTGTGACAGCTGCTCCTCAGGGTGTTGTTAGTCTGGATGCTCCTCTGTAGCTGCTCACGGAGAACCCCCATCTCTGTCAGGAGGCCATGCAGGTCGCTGAAAGAATCGGGCCCATTCCAGGCTTCTCTAGATGCCTCGCCTTGGGCCTCGTTCTGTAGCTTCCTATGTCCAGCTTCTTATCCACCTTCAGCTCCACTTGGAGGGCTGGCGCAGCTTATCGTTCTGTGAGAGCAGCTGCTGCCTTGACTTCACTTCTTCCTGTACCTGCTCAGCTCCTGGCGGTGGCTGCAGATCCCCTGGGTCAGCTGCCGATTGTGTCTCTCCTCCTCGCTGATGTCTCTCTGCAACCTCTCATTTTCCCCCTTCATACTGGTGTGCTCTAGCTGAAGGTGCTGGAGACCTACAGCCTTCCTAGACAGGGACTCAAGTCATTTCCCATTGCCTTTCTGTTTATTTCTGGACCCTTTCTCGAGCGTCATACGGAGGGCCTGGTTCTGCTTCCTCAGGAAATGTATCTCTGATGCCAGAGAGCTGTGCAGCTCTGAGCAATAAGCAGAAACATTTGTGGAACCTTGGTCAGTCTCAGACCCCTGCCGTTCCAGCTGTTTCCGGAGCTTCTCATTTGTTTTAATAGGTTCATCCAAACGCTTTCTCAAAGTTCGAATATCCTGTATGTGTTCCATTAGTAAGTCTTGAGGAAAATGGCTCTTTATACTCGGGAACTTCCCAGTCTTGTTGTCTGCCTTCTGGTCTCGGGACAGGAAGGACTTCCCACACATCCCACCATCTGACAGTGTGTGAGAGGCAGAAGGCCCAGGAGAAGTCAGGCAGGAGGTGATGATGGGTTAAGTCGTCTTCCTCAGTTTGTAACCTTTCTTGCAGTTTCTTCTCCGACCAACACTCCATGAAGAACCAGCTTTTCCAGTTGCTCAGGCAGCTCAGCACACTGTGTTAGCTGTTCCCAGAAGCCATCAGCCACTCAACTATCCACATCGCTGGCCTGCAGAAGCTCCTCGCATGCCTTGATCATGGTGCTCATGTGTTGACGGTAAATGACAGGTGTCATGGCTATCCTTAATCTGCTGCCGCTGAAAGGGGAGCTCCCTGGCTTGGGACTGAACCAGTGAATCCTATCTTGACGGGGAGTGGTCTCGGAACTTGTTCTCCAGGTCTTGGATTTCACTGAAAAGTTTCAAGTTAAAATTCTGCTCCTTCTGTAGCTCCTTCTGTTCCACCAGCTGCTGAGTGAGGCTCTCTGGCATCCCGCTGTCAATCATTGTAATGGCGTAAACAAATGCAGACAGATTGTAAAAATATATATACAGCTTTAATGGCAAAATAGACTTACAGAACCACCGTTCCCCCGGAGACCAGGAAAGCAGAAGGAGAGACGGCTGGGAGCACGCTAGCCAAATTTATAGGCAAACATTAGCCCAAGGCGAACACGCCCCCTAAGGGGTGGGACTTATCCCTACATCTCCCCTTTTTGTCTAAATAAGACAGAACTAAACCAAATACAACTATATACAATAATAAAAAAATAAATATAACAAACAATATTGAGAACAAAAGTTTTGCTAAACATTCTATCTCAAGGAGTCTAAATAATGTAGAGAGTAACTACAATTATATAATCTTCAACTCCGTCAAAGATCTGAGAAGGGAATAAATATTACTTAACAAACGAGATACATCCAAAATGTGCAACAATTGACAGAGACAACTGACTACCTGGGCAATCACCCAAAGTCTCGTTTGCAATGTTGAGTCAACCAACTTTGGCTAAGGCCTAACATAACTGACATACCATTATTAAAGGCAAGGAACTTTTCAAAACTATCTTACCCTGTCTTGGCAGGATATGACAGTCCTGTTTTATCCAGTGATGCATGCTTTGTATCTCTGTCAGTGGTTGAGGTATGGGCATTTCTTTGCCCAAAGGCCAGTTCTGCCAAATAGAAAGGCTCCAGGTGGAGTGTCTTTGGTGCTCAACATTCTCTCGGGAATAGAGCGGTGTTGACAGGAGCAATTGTGTCTCCCTATCACGAAACTCTGAGTTAGATTAAAGGCCATTTTCTATAGCTCTTTGAAGAGGTTGAAGACTATCTATCTATACTGAGTATAATCTTTATATATCTAGAGAACCTGATTAGTCTAATTATAAATGACAAACTTAGATGACTATTTATCTATATAATTCTCAATATCTATCTAACTTAAAGACTAAGACAATAAACAACTGTGTAACAAATGAGGATAATGACCTCCAAATATAAACACTGTACAAATATACATTGCAATATGGTAAATATATATCAATACACAAACATTATATAAGTATCTTAATCAGAGGTAGAAATGTACACTGCAATATGGTAAATATATACAATATATATTTATCAATACAATATATGTCAATACATAAAAAATGTTTTAAACAGAGATAGAAACATGCATGCATACAATAGTCAATATAATTTAACTTTGTATCAATATACAAGAATCGATACCAATATATTTGTCTAAAAGCAGTAACTCACAATTATAAATCTATTATCCCATCATTTTCCCTCTTTTTTTCTTTCAAAATGATCCCTGAGCTTATAAAATTCCTCCCCCAACCTCCCAACCCCTAAATGATGTCCCTAAACCCAGGGGTAAACTTTACTGGGAGAGGGGATGTCGTCCTCTAGAATTACTTCCAGCTGTCATGGGGACGACGTTCTTTCTGGGAGATCCTGTGAAAGTAAAATGATGGTTAAATTTCAAGATCAATGTCTTTAAAAATTGCAAATAGTCTCTGAGTATTTTGTGGAGGTCTGGCCAGAATGTTGTACAAGATGTGCACCATTTCAGCTAACCAAGTTGGGATCGTCTTGTGCAGCTGGTATCCAAAACAGGTCTTGTAGTAGCGCTATCAGTATCATGATGTCATATCAACCAGGTAGAGTTGTTGTGGGGCCCCATCTTCTTCCTGGAAATTTCAAATGTCACTTCAGGAAAAACTCATTGTTCATTGTGAAAAACTTAAACATTAATCATATAGACATACATATATATATTCAATGAAAGGCATGATAGATATATTCAATGAAAAGTATGATAGATATGGAGAAAAGCAAAGATGTTTTCTAAACTCATATTTCTTTCTGTCCCATATCATGGCTCTTGACATAAGACAGAAACTCCAGAAACTCTGGGTTTTTCTCTTATTAACAGGCTTGGAATTGGAGAGGGACTGAGCCAGAGTCCAACTTCAAAACCAGCTCTACGTATTTATAAAGAAATGTTTAATAAGACATATATATATAATTAATACTTACAAAAATGTGTCCATCCATCAGTAATTAAATATTCAGGGTCCCTTAATTTCTTTGAAGATGAGTATTTTCCTGTGGAGATAAGAAAAGAACCCTGCCTCCAACCTATCTGTATTTCTTACCATCAGTATGCTCACCATCCTTATGAAAGAATTGTTATTTATCTTTTCCAAGTGGCTTCTCTTCTTCAAACCAAACCTTTATTAATTTTGACGGTATCCACAATTTTTCCTCACCTGTGGAGATAAGAGCAAAACCCCTTCACCAACGTAGCACATCTCTTGGCTTCCATTGTGAAGTCAGCACATCCTTGAAATAAACTGGTTGATTTAGTTCAGTAGACTTTTCCGTTATCCAATGTCTTTCTGCAGCCGTTGTTCCCTTCTCATTAGCGTTGAGAAAATTGAAGGTTAACAAAGCATTATGTAACCTATTTCTGGGGGTGTTTTTCACCCCTTTCTGTTTGTTCAACATATCCTTTATAGTTCGATTTGATCTTTCTATGACTGCTTGACCTGTAGGATTATATGGTATACCTGTAACATGCTTGATATTGTAATAATCAAAAAACCGTTTCATTTTCCTAGAAACATAAGCAGGACCATTATCCATCTTTATTTGTGTATGTATACCCATGACAGCCATGACTTCTAATAAATGAGTGATTACTGAATCAGCTTTTTCTGAACTTAAAGGAGTTGCCCACTGAAAGCCTTAATAAGTGTCAATGGTATGATGAACATATTTTAATTTGCCAAATTCTGCAAAGTGGAACACATCCATCTGCCAGATTTCATTCCTTTGGGTGCCCTTTGGATTAGCCCCTGCAGGCAGTGGCGTTTGGTTATAAAAAGAGTAAGTAGGGCATTTCTTTACAATCTCCTTAGCTTGTTGCCATGTAATTGAAAACTCTTTCTTCAAACCTTTGCTATTAACATGATGTTTTTTATGAAATTCAGAGGCTTGTAGCACACTACCAATCAATAATTGATCAATTTCTGCATTACCTTGTGCTAGAGGACCTGGCAGACCCGTATGGGATCGGATATGTGTTATGTACATAGGGCAAAGCCTGTTCCCAATCAAATCTTGAACCTGGAGAAACAATAAGGTTAGTTCTGTATCATCAGGTATAAATTCAGCAGTTCCAATATGTAAAATAACTCTTTCTGCGTATTGTGAATCAGTGACTATATTAATAGGTTCTTTAAAATCCCTTAGCACCATAAGAATGGCATATAATTCCGCCTTCTGGACAGAATTATAAGGACTTTGTTCCACCTTACCCAAGTCTTCTGATTTGTAACCTGCCATCCCTGATTTATTGGCATCAGTATAGAATGTACGGGCTCCAGTTATTGGAGCATCACGGACGATTCGAGGAAGAATCCAAGAGGTTCTCTTTATGAAGTTAAGCCTCTTGCTTTTTGGATAGTTGTTATTAATGTCTCCCAAAAAATTAGCACAAGCTCTTTGCCATGGTTCATTATCTTCCCATAATTTCTTTAGTTCATCAGCAGTGAAAGGCACTATAATTTCTGCTGGGTCTATGCCTGCTAGTTGATGAAGTCTCAGCTTGCCTTTTATAATTAACTCAGAGACTTTTTCCACATAAGTTTTCAGTTTCTTACTTGGTTTATGTGGTAAAAAGATCCATTCCAAAATAATATCATCTCTCTGCATTAAAATTCCTGTAGGAGAAATTTTTGATGGTAGTATGACGAGAATACAATCGAGCTCTGGATTCACCCTGTCCACATGTGCCTATTGTAATTTTTCCTCAATCATTGTCAGTTCCTTTTCTGCTTCAGCTGTTAATTCTCTGGGACTGTTTAAATCTTTATCACCATCCAAGGTTTTGTTCAAATGAATTATTAGATCAGGTGTTATTCCAATAGCTGGTCGTAGACTGGAAATGTCTCCTAACAGTCTTTGAAAGTCATTAAGAGTCCGTAGGCGATCTCTCCTAATTTGTGCTTTTTGTGTCTTAATTTTTTGCAAACCTATTTTATAACCTAAATAATTAACAGAATCTCCCTTCTGAATCTTTTCGGGAGCGATTTGCAATCCCCATTTAGGTAAAAGTATCTTTATTTCTTCAAACATTCTGTTCAAGGTATCCATGTTTGAATCGGATAACAAAATGTCGTCCATGTAATGGTATACTATAGATTTGGGAAATTTCTTGCATATTATTTGCAATGGTTGGTTCATAAAATATTGGCACAGGGAGGAGCTATTTAACATACCCTGGGAGAGAACGGTCCAGTGGTACCTCCTCGAAGGTTGAGAATTGTTATAAGTAGGCACTGTGAAGGCAAATTTTTCTCTATCTTCTTTTTGCAAAGGTATAGTGAAAAAACAATCCTTTAAATCAATAACTATGAGAGGCCATCCTTTTGGTAATAAAGAGGGCAAAGGAATTCCAGATTGCAGAGGGCCCATAGGTTGAATAACCTTGTTGATGGCCCTGAGATCTGTCACCATTCTCCATTTATGGATTTTTTTCTTAACCACAAATACAGGAGAATTCCAAGGGCTGGTAGATTCTTCTATATGTCCAGCATCTAATTGTTCTTGTACCAGCTGTTCTAAAGCCTGTAACTTTTCCTCAGCTAAAGGCCATTGCTTTGTCCATATTGGTTTCTCAGTCAACCATTTTAGAGGCAAGGCTGTTGGTATCTCTGAAGGGACATCAATTGCTTGTTCTTGTACAGCCCGAATGGCC